GTGTCAGCAGGATGGAGCCAGCATCACTGTTTGCAGGTTTGTGAATGGTAGATGTGTGAACCAAATGAGTCAGCGTTGCTGTATGAATCTTAACAGAAATAGCTCACATAGTCGGCGCTGCCAATTCACAAAAAGGGTGGTTTTTACAGCTGAGAGCTAATGCTGTTTATAGGTCCTTATTTTGTGATTGAGATTCCATCTGTGAAAGCTAAACTTTAAAAGAGTGTAAGAAAAATCAGGAACAACTTTTTGTTGCCTTTTAACTACTAGGATGTTGCCTACACCGAATGGATTAGATTTAGACCTTGCAAAGCAGATTTGCTCCACTGTTCCGCATTGGGGTTTAGAATGCTCAGATTCTTGGGTTGCCGGGGCTTAGGTCCTGCTATTAAAATGTAGCTATTTTTGCAATGCTTTGGAATTCACATAAACACTAGGATATTCTGTTTCTGTTCTGGTGTCAGGTCTAAAATTCCTTGTTTTCTCAAAGTTGGCAAAATATTAGAAAAACTTCTCTTAACTGTTCATTTCCTTTCTCTTCTGCATGGTCTGTCTGACTGGTTAGTATTAGTTTATGCGTAATTCGAATGACAGGGTAATAAAAAGAGTTTTCTCTCAATTTGCTTGAAAATTTGTTCTTCAACTTTGAGTAGCCCAAGGACGCTGAGGTGAAGACTTGGGCTAGTGTGTCTCTAAGTCCCTATCGATGTTAAACTCTGAATTTCTAAGAGATTCTAAGACCCTGAGAAGAATCTGCCAAAGCTTTGTATAGAGATGTAGAAAAGACCCCAAATTTGGAGAGATATCTATTATCACTATATTGGTTATAGCCATTTTAATTCATTATTATTGTTGTGTTCAGTGTGTGTGCATGCATGCAGTGGCAGGTGTTTGAAAGTCAGGACAGCTGTAGGAGTTGGCGCGCTTTCTCTCTACCATGTGGGTTCTGGGACTTGAACTTAGATCATCGAGCTTGGCCTCAAGCTCTTCTGTCCACTGAGCCATGTTGGCAGCCTTCATCCTGACAATTTTTATAAGAAATCAAAGGAGAATTATGGTATAAAGGAATGCTATTTTCTTTATTTGAAAAATTCTCTCTCTTTTTCACAAAGAGTTAATTTGATTACACAAATGATTTTAACACTGGTTTCTGAGTTCTTCACTTTGCATTATACATATGAAATCACTGTGACTTTGTCATCAAAATGTTTCTAATATTTAATAATCATTGGTTTCTCTAAAATTCTAAATTGGTAGGAATACTCAACAAGGTCCAGAAAGAATAGACAAAACAGTAAATAAAAAGTACTTTGTTTGTCTTCTTTCTTTGGTTTGAGTTTTACTCCTTTGAAAACATTTCCTAATTCTGGTGTGTGAAAGTGTAGTTTAGGAATCTAAGAGCATTGGTTCCTGCATTTCAGCAACATGGACCCTAAAGTTCGGTGATTCAAGTTTCTGAACTATCGCACTGACAGAAAGAGCTGGAGGGACTGGACACTGTATCCAAGAATTACCTGAGAATTTGTGTATTGAAATCTTTACACTTTAATAAATTAACAAAATACCACTAATTAGTTTAGTATAATATTCTTAGCCGAAGAGAGGGCTTCTTGTAAGTGAGCTGTCTACTCCTTAGGGGCAGTCTTGCTATCAGAATCACTTCAGAGAAACTCTAGAAACACCTGCTTAGGCTACAGCTCAAGTCATTGAGAGAAGTGACCTGGGCTGGTACCCAGGTATCGATAGTTTTGAAAGATGTTTAACTAATTCCAATGTGCAGCTGGGGTGAGGGTTTTTAATTTATTGGAATATCATAGGTACCCTACTTGTTAGAAGATCAGAATATGTGAGGGTAGGAAGGTGTAGTGGAGACGGCCTTTATAAGAGAGCTCAGATCGTGTTGGAAGCCCGCCTTTATCAACACCAGATGTGTTAACTTCAACAGGTACTTTACCTGGGTCTGAAATTTCTTTGCAGCTTTTCTATTGAAGTTCAATACTTAATTTCATTATAGTATTTTTGGAGTAGTTTCCTGCACCACATGAAGCATTAACAAATTCAGATATCTATTCTCTTTATTTTGATTCAGGTGGTCATAGGATAAACTTTGAGTCTGATGTTTGGCTAAGAACTAGTCACTGAGAAATTTGGGATTTTGTGAATTTGAAACTTAGTGGGTTGATATCATTATCTTATAAAGAAGAGCCTGCTAAGCATGTCACAGCACAAACTGTTCTAGGGCACTGTTAGGCCTACTTAAAAAAAATCTAGCTGTTTTGACAATTTACATGGGGGGCACGCTTATCACAGGCAAGTCCAAAAGCAGATCTTGACATGGAGACAAGGCAGACTTGAATAAATAGGGATTGTGGGGCTGTGACGGTACCAGTGGGAGGCCTGGATCGCTCTCTGAGGCGCCTTCTGCCAGCAGCCTAACAAATAGGCTGTCTTGGGTCAGGAGTTCTCGTGAGGCTCTGGTTAGATTGCTCAGTTATTGGACGGATCTGTTGTTCACTGAGTACCTGTTACAGACTGACCAGCGCAGCAGATACAAAGGATGCAGGGAGGAAAATGTGTGCCCTGGGAGGAGTTAGAAGAACAATCAGTTCATACTTTTATTTGTATTGTGTGTGTGTGTGTGTGCGCGCGCGCGCGCGCGCGTGCCAGTGTGCATATGCATGTGCCTGTGTGTGTGGAGGCCAGAGGTAAACACTGTATGTCTTCCTTGAGCCTTTCATATTATATAGTAGTAGTAGTAGTAGTAATAGTAATAATAATAACTTATTATTTGAGATAGACTCACTGAACCTGGAGCTTGCCAATCGGCCACACTTGTCTGGCCAGCAAGCCCCTGGAATCCTCCTCTCTCTGCCTCTCCCTTGCGGTATTTGAGGTACATGCTATTGTTCCCAGTTTGTGTACGGGGTAGCTGGGATTCAGAATCAGGTCATACTTTGTAGCCAATGCAGCAAAGCAAACCCCTTTCCACTGAGCCATCTCCCCAGCTCCAAGTCTTCAGACTCTTTGGAGAATTCATGCAGTAAATTATTTTACGGGGACTGGTTTTTCTCTCCTTTTCTTTTCTTTTTGGAGACAGGTTCTAATTATGTAGCCCAGATGAGCGTCAGACTCACAATCTTCGTGCCTCCCTCTCCGGAGTGCTTAGACTGCAGGTGTGTGCACCACCATGTCTGGCCCTGTCTGTACTGTCAGCCCCACGTGCCAATGCCTCACTGTACACAGCAGGCGTGAGACATTGAGTTATGGGAACAAATGAACCAGCCTCATGTCGATGCATTCCCTTGCTGATTTTAGGTTCCATATGAATGGGAACATGGTTGTCTAACTTTAAAGCCTTTCAAACTATAACAATGGCATATTCTTCATGTAGAGTCTGACCATTTTGGTGACCCCGAGACCCTTGTTTTTGGCTGATCTTTTTTTTTTTTTTTTTTTTTTTTTTTTACACTTGGCATTCATCTGAACTCCAATATTCCTCGTGGAAATGAAGATAAATTCTTCTCTTGACATTCCCTTTTTCCACTAAGTTAAAAATCGTTGCTTCGTAAGTGAGATTCCAAACATCTGGATTTTGATCTTTCCACCATACAGGATGATAGTTTAGCTCTGGCCACATCTGGATCGTGCAACCTGATCACATTCGGCACACAGAGTGTCTAACTCAGGTGGTGCAGCCAACCAAGAGCTTGTGGAATGCACTTGGCCCCCGTTCTCCTGATATTTTACACACGGTCGGGGTCTGGGTTTTTTTCCTCTACCCTCTCTGATTGTGGACAAATGGGAAAGTTAAAATGCCGCTCTCAAAGACCCGCAAAGATTCTTTGACTTAATTTCTGTTCTTTGTGGCAGGTAATAGTCTCTCGGATTGCAGTCATGCTCTCAAATGGTCTCAACAAGTGCAACCCTCCTTAGGGTTAGCAGAGCTGGGAGACACTGAGAAGCTACACACAGTCTCTCTTCCTCTCTCTCTCTCTGGATTTTTATTTTAGTGGGAAGTTGGAGTTGAAATGACCTGATATTTGATCCGGATCTGCTGCTCTTGTCTGAGCCAGGAATTGGGCCTTGACAGCTGAGGACACTGTGATAGTTGCCATCGCTGGGAACCTGTGATTCTTCCTGACATTCCCCCTATTAGCCATCTACTCTGTGTGAATCCCCTTAATTTCTGTGGGTACTTAAGAGTTCAAGGTGCTATGTATGGCTGTTTATGTGACTGGTTATATTTTGTTATGTAATCTTTCACCCTTAATTGCTTAAAAATATTTATAATGTGTTAAGTTGGAAATTTTATTTCAAAGTCCCATTTAGGTGACTATTATTTTCAAATATGGATTTATACTGTTAAGGGATCCTGTGTTCAGTACAACAGGGATTTGGGTGTGGGCTCCATACTGTTTTATAATCCATCAATGTGGTCTTTTACATCCAGGCTTCTTAGGTCGAGAGCACTGTGCTTTTTCCTGTCTTATATTATGAAATATATTATGTATATTATATTTTATAATATATACATATGCATACACTGTTGTTAACTTTGGCATGAGAGGAATGAATCCTAGAATGGCTTGAATATTTTTGCCACAAAACAAGAAGTTGGAAGTGAAATTTTTGAGCCTTCTCAAGTCGAATTAGATCTCCTAAGTTCAACCTGAGCCTCTGTTGTTGGAATGTGGGCTATAGGAGGCTATCAAGGCTTTTTTTTTTTTTTTTTTTTTTTTTTCAGAATGACTCTTGCAGGGCAAGCGATGGAAGGAAGTACCATGTACACATTTGTAGGTAGCACTGTGTCATAGGCAGGTGTTAGAGTGTTGCGTGTTGCAAAGCGGGATCAGCCTCACCCAGAAGGCCCTTCTGAGTTCAGTTCCCTGGGCTATCTAATCTCATGGCCTGCACACGGCAGGTGGGGGGCGGTGGCAGCGACTGCTTTTGAGTACCCAGTGAGCGCTGACTGCCTCATGCTTTGTTTTGTGCTTTTTCAGAGTGCAAATTCACCTGCACCAGCGGCAAATGCTTGTATCTTGGTTCACTGGTCTGTAACCAACAGAATGACTGTGGGGACAACAGTGACGAAGAGAACTGTCTTCTGGTGACTGAGCATCCACCTCCAGGCATCTTCAACTGTAAGTCCCTCTGACTCAGCCTTGCGACGTTGTGTCTGATGGTGTTTTGAAACGGATGGGAGGTGGAAAGTTATGTTTCCTAGTTACAGGAGAGAGAGATGCATTTCCACCAAGGTTTCCTTCTGGGTTGGAAGATGGCGTGTGTAAGATGGAAAACTCTTGCGTTTCTGTAGGTGCTCACTGGTGCGGTGGTTTGTAATTGGGCTTTACTGTTGATCTGAGAAGCCCCAGTTGGTTCCAAGAAAGCAAGCAGATACTGTGTTCTTCACAGAGCTTTAGAGACCTTTTTGAATTTATGACTTCAGAAATGATTTTAAGTAAGTGAAGACAGGTCCGTAATTATTCACAAAAATAGAAATATTTACACAAGACTCCTAAAGGTTCTGGTTGTATGTTTTGCTGTTAAATACCAAATGGAAATAAAGCATGTGTCAGGTCTTTACATGCATGACTCTCGAGCTGAGACTCAGAACACTGTCTTCAACTTGCAAAAGTGAGATCGGAATCTGAAATTCATTGGTTTTGGATTTCATGATTATTATGACAAGGAAGAGGGAGAATGCAGTTTTGAAACACTCCTGAATTCTGTTAGGAAAAATAGTTTATTATGGTTTTCCACGAAGCAACTGAAGTGGGTTGAGGGTGAGCCTACCTAGGGAGAACACTTGCCATGCTGGTCCTTGCTGTGTTCTGATAGCTGCTTCCCCCAGATCCAAAGCTGACATTAGAGGCTTGGTCTCCAGCCCATGGTACTGTTATGAGGTGGTAAAACCTTAGAGGCCTGGTACCTCCTTAGGGGTGCTCTGCCTTTTATAAAGAGATTTTGGGACCCTGGGTCCTCAGGTTTCTGCTATGTAGCCCAGGCTGGCCTCAAGCTCACAGCAGTTCTCCTGCCTCAGGGTCCTAAGTGTCGCGATTACAAGGTGTGAACTCGCATGCCCTCTTTTCCTGGCTTCCTTGCTGCCATGAAGTGAGCACTTTTGTTCTACAGCTTGCTCTTCGATACCATAAGCTGCCTTGGCAGAGGCCCGGAGGCAAATGGGTCCAGTTGCCCATGGATTTAAAACTGAGATGAGCTAAGCCTTCCCTCTTTTGTTGGTCATTCTGAAGTGTTTGTTCTGGTGATATGAAGCTGAGAGGTGAATTCTCTTCATGGGGGTCTTCTTACTGAGATGGGTCATTTCAGATATAGTCAGCCTCTCCTGTCCTGAGACCACTTTGAGGCATTATGTTTGGCAAAAATTAAAACTGGGGATGGTTAAGAGCATGGCTGCTCTTGCAGAGGACCTGGGTTCAGTTCCCAGCACCTACATGGCAGCTCACAACTGTCTGTAACTCCAGTTTCAGGGGTTCTGATGCCCTCTTCTGACCTCCATGGGCAACAGGCATGTACCTAGTGTACAAACACCTACACAGATAACACAGTCAATGCACATAAAATAAAGTCTTTTTTAAATTAAAATTTTGCGTGGAAAATAGATTGCAAAAATGCAATTGCCGTAAACTTGGAGAGGGTTAAGAAAAATAAAAAACCCACATTTTCCTCTACCCCTACTTTAGGGGAAAAGCATGCATGGTCCTAATATAAAAATAACTACATTCTGGTGAATTTTAAGCCTGCTACTTATGCTTGCCATATTCAGGAGTCTCAGTGTTTGTTTTCTCAAGAATGTTTGTTTTATCATTTTAAACTTTCTTTATTTCAATTTTAAAAGATGCTGGTTATTTGCTGTGTTTGGGCCTGCACATGCGTGAGTGGGCATGCGTATTTATGGAGGCACGTGTGGAAGGCCAGAGGTTGATTTTGAGTGTCCTGCTCAATTGCTTTTCCAACTCACCCACCCCCATGTGTTTTCCTGAACCTCAGGCTTGCCATTTTGGCTATGTTGGTTGGCCAACGAGCCCCCAAATTCTGCTTTTCTCTACCCCCCACCACACAGATGTACACAGTCACATCTGGCTTTTATGTGAATGTTCATCAGGTCCTCACGCTTGTGTGGGAAGCCCTTGACCCACCGAGCCGCCTCTCTGGCCTCTGAATTTCCTTATATTGGCTGTTTTTCGAGTTCTGTCTTCATGCGCTAAGAAGACATGTCTCGAGGGTCAGGACTGGCTCTGCACTTCCTTAGCATTAGGCCCCCTGATTTCCTTCAATTAGGTTTGTGGGGTAGCGTTTGTATCATGCAGCTGTCTAGCTGTGTGGGGTTGTCTCACTTCCTGCATATGGGTCCTCTGAAACATTTGTCGACTGGCAAAGGGAAGAGGACACAGGGAGGAGGGTAGCAGAGTGAAAGGGGGGATTGGGAACTGGGTGGGAACCAAGAACACTGAGGGCCCCTCTGTCTACCTTTTCCATGAACACTTCAAGCATTTTTGAGCACATCTAAAATATAAAATGTTCTCTTTTCTTCTTTTCTGTACCATGGTGGGAATTGATCCCAGGACCTTACACGTCACAGACAAGTATTCTACCACTGAGCTACCTACCAGTCCTCTTTTTTGCTTTGAGTCATAGTCTTCTTTTTTTTTTAATTAATTTATTTATTTATTAAAGATTTCTGCCTCCTCCCTGCCACCGCCTCCCATTTCCCTCCCCCTCCCCCGATCAAGTCCCCCTCCCTCATCAGCTTGAAGAGCAATCAGGGTTCCCTGCCCTGTGGGAAGTCCAAGGACCACCCACCTCCATCCAGGTCTAGTAAGGTGAGCATCCAAACTGCCTAGGCTTCCCCAAAGCCAGTATGTGCAGTAGGATCAAAAATCCATTGCCATTGTTCTTGAGTTCTCAGTAGTCCTCATTGTCCACTATGTTCAGCAAGTCCGGTTTTATCCCATGCTTTTTCAGACCCAGGTCAGCTGGCCTTGGTGAGTTCCCGATAGAACATCCCCATTGTCTCAGTGTGTGGGTGCACCCCTCGAGGTCCTGAGTTCCTTGCTTGTGCTCTCTCTCCTTCTGCTCCTGATTTGGACCTTGAGATTTCAGTCCGGTGCTCCAATGTGGGTCTCTGTCTCTGTCTCCTTTTATCGCCTGATGAAGGTTAATATTCAGGAGGATGCCTATATGTTTTTCTTTGGGTTCACCTTCTTATTTAGCTTCTCTAGGATCATGAATTATAAGCTCAATGTCCTTTATTTATGGCTAGAAACCAAATATGAGTGAGTACATCCCATGTTCCTCTTTTTGGGTCTGGCTTACCTCACTCAGGATAGTGTTTTCTATTTCCATCCATTTGTATGCAAAATTCAAGAAGTCCTTGTTTTTTTTACTGCTGAGTAGTACTCTAATATGTATATATTCCATACTTTCTTCTTCCATTCTTCCATTGAAGGGCATCTAGGTTGTTTCCAGGTTCTGGCTATTACAAACAATGCTGCTATGAACATAGTTGAGCAAATACTTTTGTTGTATGATAAGGCCTCTCTTGGGTATATTCCTAAGAATTTCCTGAGAAACCGCCACACTCCTTTCCAAAGTGGTTGCACAAGTTTGCATTCCCACCAGCAATGGATGAGGGTACCCCTTTCTCCACAACCTCTCCAGCAAAGGCTATCCATTGGTGGTTTTTATTTTAGCCATTCTGACAGGTGTAAGATGGTATCTTAAAGTTGTCTTGATTTGCATTTCCCTGATCGCTAAGGAAGTTGAGCATGACCTTAAGTGTCTTTTGGCCATTTGAACTTCTTCTGTTGAGAATTCTCTGTTCAGCTCAGTGCCCCATTTTATAATTGGGTTGATTAGCCTTTTACGGTTTAGTTTCTTGAGTTCTTTATATATTTTGGAGATCAGACCTTTGTCAGTTGCGGGGTTGGTGAAGATCTTCTCCCAGTCAGTGGGTTGCCTTTTTGTCTTAGTGACAGTGTCCTTTGCTTTACAGAAGCTTCTCAGTCTCAGGTCCCATTTATTCAATGAGGCCCTTAATGTCTGTGTGTTTTTCTGTTTTGTTTTGTATTTTTAATCACAAGTATGAGTTAAAACTAATAACCAGGCATTCTTCCTCTCTGTGGTAACCTTGGTTCATTATCACCTTGGGCTGAGGTTTGCTGGCAAAGCAAGGCTCTTTGAATGCCTGGATTCCCCTGTGACTTCCACAAAAGCATTCTGAGACAGTGACTTTACTTCTGTGAAGTTTAATAAGATAAATATTGGTTGGAACCATTAGCCAAGAGGACTAAAGTTAGAAGGCAACAACAATGCTACCCCCAGAAAGCCAACAAACTCATGAAGTCATAGTCTTCTTATCAAGCTTCCCATGCAGGCCTTTCACTCTGTGGTTCAGGTAGGCCTTGAACATGTTGTCTTGCAGTGTCAACCGCCCAAGTAGCTGGGATTACAGACCTATTTCACCAGGCCTGGTTAAACGTGCTTTGGATGCATACGCTTGTTTCAAACTCAACTGCTGGGATAGGGTCCCAGTAATACAGCTTTCCCAGGAACAGGCAGCAGGTTGTTTTTCCCTGTGCCCCAGAGCTACCATCTGCACAATCAGGGCCCAAGAGATGGCTCCTGTGTGCACTGCAGGGGAAAGGGACAATCCAAGTAAGTTATTTAGAAACATGCAAGACTTAAGCAATTGGTGAATACAAAGTTATCCCAAGCTAGACTGATGGATTAAGATCCTGGCCCTAGGACTTAGCAGTTAGGCAGGTTGCTTTTGCATGAGGAAGCGATTGAATCCTCTAAGGCCTAGATTCTGGTATCTATGAAATGGGCATAATTTCTGTCATATAAAATTGTACATGGGCTTAATGAAAGACCTGGGAAGTGTGAGCTACATAATTGCATTGTCCTTCCTCTCTCTTCCCCTTCTCTCGCTCATCTCTCCTTCCTCTCTCCCTCCTCCCCTTGCTCCTCCTCTTCCTGCCGACATTTTGTTTGGGCATCCCTTGGGGAGCAGAATCACCATAGCTTCGTATAATTTGCCTTCAATGTCACCACATTGCATATGTAATATGTTTCTATGTGTTCCAGAATGAGTGCATTCCCAGAAATCAGTGTTTCTCCT